GAGTTCTGAACACCTAAATTTATATAAATTTTTAAAATCTGAATTGAAGACACGTTTTAAACAGTTGAACCCATAATAAAATTCACAAAAATGGTTACAGTCCATCCTCTGAAACATCTACAAATCAACATTTATGGTGACCCATTTCTTTTAAGTTCAGTGACTCCACAAAACCAATCTTCTACTCTTCTAAGCCTTTTCATAACATAGACATCCCAAAATGGTACTTGCTCTGTACCACCGTTTCGAGCAATTTGTACAAACTCACCATTAAAACTAACTAGTAAGGAAATGACGACCCAAGTGCTTATAAGTCCAGGAGCTAGGCTTTAAACCTGTCAAATAAGATTAAACTGCGTAAATTACTCATCATGGATTCAATGAGAAAAAATCAAGAGAACATATTGCATCCCAAAGGCGACCACTTCAGGGAAATGCAGCTACCAGCCGTAAAGTAGAATGCATAGAACAAGATCCAATTCGTGTCCAGGGAAATCTTTAAGAAACCATGGCATTGGCTTCATCTTCATCTCCCTCGACCACTGATACCTCACTGAACATATATTGGCTTTGATATTCCATCAAGTATTGCGTTGACCTCTTCACGTCATAAAACAGTTGGTACACTCGGCTGATATCTTCCATTTCCACAATCTTTCCTTTCCGTTTTTGGCAAGACAATGCAGCAGATGTTATGAGGTTTATAGCATATCGTAACGATGTGTCTGTCCCAATCTTTGTCAGCAATACTTTAGCATCTTCAGACATTTCTACGTCTTCCTCTTGGCTTCTTATGTCTAAAATTTTGCGAATTTCTTCTTCTGTATAAGGTTGTGTGGAGATGATAAGCAAGCGATCAAGGAAATCAATTGGAATACCATGTGGGGATTTGTAGTTTGTGCCTCGAATTGTAGTAATTCCTCTGTTGGTGGCGACAACCAATATAGGTGCCATATCATTTTCCAGTGCACGGTTAAGGAAGGAAAAGCACTCTATGTCCAGCATGTGAACTTCATCGATGAAAAGGACACCTGGCACAATTTCTGCTTTCCCTTCTTCCCTCCACTCAGTAACCTTTGTGTCAATTTGTTCCCTAACTTCTGCTCGAATTTCACCAGTATCGCCAGTAAAGAGTGCAAGAAATCCTTGTGTTCTGAAATTCAGACAGGAGACAATAAATTAATTTCTTAAACAGTTCAGTACTTGAGGGAACATCATAACATTCAAACAATTATTTATTGAATCTCTACATACAAGAAATTTTGCATATACTCTAATACTACTATAGTTTAGGTTCCAGGAATTAGAAAGCTCAATAATGACAAAAACTGGTGTATAAATGTTAAAGAGGTAAAGATACTAACAGGAAAGAAGCATAACTAAGGAAAACTGCCAAAACAAAATAGCCGACCCATCAACAGCATATTGATTCAATAAGAATTTCACCAAACAAAAGAAGTTCCTGCTATACAAAAAATTAAAAATCAGCCCAACCATATGCATAGTCAAAAAACAGCAATTCTACCATAAAAGAGTACCAAGCCACGTTTCAACCTCCTTCCTAATATCCAACAGTTATTCTGAAATGCATCAAACATTGAGGTTTAGCTTTACAGTTTGGGGAAATTATGTACATCTCGCAATCACAAAAAAAAAAAAAAGCCACATAATGTAATTAGGGTTGGTGACTTTGCTCCTTTTCAAACACCTAAATAAAATTATCGTTTTTCTCTTCAATTTTTCATTAAATGAAATAATGTTTAGCAGAGAACTTATTTCTGTCAGCTAGTTAATTTTGAATCTTTTTGTTGCGTGACAACAATCGTACAAATAATATGGGATTTCGAAGATCAACTGCATGCAACCCTTGAAAATACGTTCAGCATATTTTAGTAAACTATCAGTTGGCCACTGCATAAGAACTGTGTATGTACATTTGTGGCTACGGAGGACGCTTAATGCAAAACCGATTGTTTTTTTATTTGTTATTCCAAAAACAAATTGACAGAACAGGAGACATACAAGTCAAGGACTTAATTTAAGTGTATATAACTCATAAATTTCCACAACATAGCACAAATTATTATGGACTGGTTGCTTAATCCATTGTATCTTCAATCAAGAGGGAAAAGGTCATGTGTTTTGCATTTTATGCCCCAGATAAATGAAAAGTGAAATGATAAGTAAAAACAAACCAGAGAATAAAAGAATAGGAAGAAATAAATATGCCTCGGTATCCTCCAATCACTAGCGGATTGACACTGGAGGAGTGGGGTCAGCTGCCCCCAGTGGACTTTGATTTACAAGCTTTTTCTCCTACATTTATATATTTACTTCTTGCCCCCCTAGATATTTTGTTTGCTATTTCTATTATATTACATGTGGTTCTTTTTTATAGATAATTGGTCTTGACTAGTTTTGCTTTCAATTTGGAATAAAATGCGTTGCTTGAGTTTCAAGAGCATCCTTTATGTAGCCTTTAATTTGTAATTTTATTTAAATATTTTCTTAAGTTTTGTTTTGTTGGATTCTATATGCAAAAATTATGGAAATATATTTTAAATGAATATTTCTATTTCCTACTGAGTAAAAACAAATCATGTAGCATAGAATTGATATTGCACAACTTCTTACACATGCTGGACTAAGAATTTGATTATGGATATAACGTTAATGTCTACGATCAAATTCGAAGAGCTTATATGAATGGATCATTGATACTAATAATGAGGTCATATCCAATAATTATAAAGTATGAAAACCAGTGAAAGACTATTTAACATTCTTGGTTATTTATGTCTTTCAAAAAAATATTTCCTTCAGTTATGCTCCATTGCTCTTACTAGACTAAATTCCTGGCTCTGCCCTTGCCTCCAAAAATCTTTAATTCCTCCCGTGACAGGTGCCAAATTATGGATGGATTCCATACTTATTTGTGCTACTGGATGCTAATTGTTTAGGGATGCAAGGTAAGAAAACCTTGTGTGACCAAGGTGTCCAAAGTTAAATCACTACTGTAATAATGTTGGCGAAGCATGCACAAAAAGTTGCAAGTTTCTAGGCTGTCATAGCAGATAAGTTTCCTGATAACTTGCATCATTCCAGATGGATAAATATCTAAAAATGTCAAGAAAAATAATGTCTTACTACTAATGGGAAAATAAGAGAAACAAACTATCCTTTTGCAGGTATTGCAAACATATCCTCCTTGTATTTTTTATTTTCTATTTTTTATCCCCGGTGTTTATAAAATGTCATTTCTTAACCTAATAAAATCGTAGGTTAGGATGTGAAAGGTCAGTAGTAAAATTGATCATTAACTATTATATAATTAAAAACAAATACACAAATTACAGGGAATGCCACAGATGTTCTATCATTCTTCTCTCCTTTTCTGTTTCTTCTCTCCCTCTGGTCAGCTCAACCCTGTCAAATTAATTAAATAGCAACGACTTTAGTGTCAAGGAAACCCTGCTCGTCCAACTTGTAGTGAACTCCATAAATGTCTACTCTTTTTCTCTCCTTTTCTTCTTCTCCTCTCCTTTTGGTCCTTCTCTAGATATAGGCACGAAAACTCTTCATAAGTCGTACCCAAAAAATTCATTCCTCCACTCGCCACCCTAAATCACCACAATCTCTGGACTACACGCATATATGATTTTCTTAATCCTGTTTCATTTTCAGTTTCCTCAAAAGACTAAGAATGTGAACGGAACTCTGGAAAAGATCAAGTGCTGCCCAAGAACTTTATGCAGAGTATGAACAAAGGTTGAAAATGAGATTATAATCTTCAAATTAGAGGAGCATTTATTCTTGACAAATGAAGTCAAACCCCCTTCGAGGAAGTTCTGAAAGAAGACAAATTTTTCTGGCTATTTTGCTAGATAAAGTCCGATAACAGTAATTATAAGCTCCCAAAATTCACCATAAATTTTGGAAATTCCAACGCATTGCGCAGGAAACTATAGATGTAACTAAAATGCCTAAAGACATTCCTACCCCAACAATAAAACAAGCTCTAGTGGAAACAACATTACTTCAGTTAATTGTCAAACACCAGTGACTGAAAATTTCCGACAGGAATTATGCTACTTTAATTTTACAAATTGTTCAGTGCTAAAGTTTTGAGACATGAGGTCCCCTATACATAACTCGATTAAAATAAAACTTCACGGTCTGATATAAGAGTTTAATCATCTCAAGCATGAGCAAACAAGATCTGATTATTGCCACAAGTTAGAATAATTCTGGTTATCCCCACAAGTTAAATATTCCTAATATACATGAAATTGAAAAGAAAAAACAAAAGGGGGGATAACTAAATGGTGCAGAAATGGAAGAACTCTGAAATGACACCAACTAAAGGTCAGATGAAAGCATTTTAAAGGGCATTAATTATCTAACAAGTCTAACCAATCAGTGTACTATTGGAGCTTACAAGTTTAGTTATAAATTACACCCTCCAAGAATATTACCAAAATCTTTAGCATCAATAAGTTAACACCAATGCAATTACATAATACCATACAGCATATAATAGATAAGAATATGAAACAACCAAGCGTTCAAAGCATGAGGATAAGAAATTCAAAGTGTTCGGCATAAATTGCTTTGTAAAACAATGAAGTTACTATAAAAAAAAAATTACATTTAGCAGCAGTAGACTGATTAAACACTAACTTATCCAAGCAAGTAACAAATATGGTCGTGCATTAATTGTCAGATTAGTGAAAAAATACATCTGCAAATTTTTGAGTTCATTCACTTTCCAACAGCATTTTTTTCTTCTTAGTTGGAGAGGACAATAACTTGACAAGACCAATTCACACCAATACAATTGTACAGAATCTGAAACAACACACTTCCTAGCCTTGGAAACATCTGGATAAGAAATTCAAACTATTCAGCACAAAATCAAATTGCTATGTAAAACAATGTAGCAACCACAGAGCAATAAAAGTGGCAGTAGATTGATTTGACAGAGTAACTTATCCTAGCAAGAAACAATCTTTAAGCTGTGAACATAAATGAATATACCTGCTGTTGATAACGTCAATCTCGTGAAGTGTCACACAATGCACTACTTCCTTTCTCTTCTGCAGCTCCCCATCAGGACACTGCACGAACTTGGTCTGCGGCCCCATTGCATCGTAATCTCTTGACCTCGAGAATGACCTTCCAAGCTTGGTGATTTTCCCAGAGGTCTTATCAATAGCAATAACATCCCCACTCTGAACTTTCTCCTTCCCCAATGCCTCAATCATCTTTGCCCCCAAGTCATACACGGTCTCCATCTCCGTCGTCTTCAATGTCAACTTCCCCGTCTTAGTCGCTGCCCCAGCAACTGCCGGCCTATCAATCTGTATCTCCACCACCTCCCCTTCAATAACCTCTGTTTCCTCCTTAATCCTAACCCCAATGGCCTTCCTAAACGCCTGCATTAGAGCCTCGGTTTTGGACATCTCGAGAGAGAACAACTCACTCCCTGCCAGCATAGCAAAAGGGGTCTCTTGCCCGAGGGATTTCGCCATACCCATTGCAATAGCGGTTTTTCCAGTGCCGGGCTGACCCGCAAGAAGAACAGCCCGTCCCGCTATTTTTCCCTCCTGGACCATCTTGACAATTACTCCAGCGGCTTTTCGGGCGGAGGTCTGGCCCACCATGCCCTCCGAGGAGACACGTGGCTCGAGAACTGAATCCAAACCCAGGCCCCGGATATGGGAATGGGCACCGATTCTTTCGATTCGGGTCAAATCCCGCATCTCCGAGAGCTTTATCTCCGTCATGCTTGGGTTAGGGTGAGAAAATCGTAGAGAGAGAGAGTTGGTGCGAGCTGCTTGGTTGCAGAAGGGTTTAGGGCTTTTCAAACAAGACTAAAAAACGAAAAAGAAATAGACCAATGAGTTTAATTGAAAGTCACAACTTAGTCATCGAAATTTAAAAAATTATTTTTTGATCATTAAATTTACTATAGCTTACTATTTGATTACCGAAATTTAAAAGATTACTCGTTACTCACTCAAATTTAAATAAAATTACTCATCAATCACTCATAACATTTTCATTAGTGTTATCTATAGCAAAGTTCGATGTGCAACGAGTAAATCAGTTAAAATTTAGGTGAGCAACGAATAACTATTTAAATATTAGTGTAGTAATTTATAACAAAGTCCCGTGAGCAACGATTAATTTTTTAAAGATATATGAGTAATTAGTAACATATAGCAAAGTTAAGTTGCCATTGATTAAATTATTTCATTGATTAATATTCATTTCAAAAAATGTTTTGTGCTGAGTAAAAAAAAAAAGCCGTAAGATAAAATTTTATTTGATAATTAAGCTTCTATTTGGTGAGAATTAAAACCATATTTTTACTCAATTTTGATTTAAAAAATGATAAAATATGTAGTTAACAAGTTATATATTCATAAAATATGTGATTGAATTAATTGTTGAATTTTTCACTTAACTTAAAATTTTAATTTTAATTCCTAACCAAACATGACTAAAGTTTAAAATCTCTACTATCCATAATTTTTGGGGAAAAAATGTTCTATATTTTTCTGAAAATGCCCCCAAATACTCTCGAGTTGACTAAACTTAGGGCAGACCCAAAAATTGCCTTTGAGGTGGGTTGAAATTTAAAAAATATAGAATGAACTGACGCCCTAAGAGATTTAGTTCTTGTTTGATTCTCATTATTTTTAAAATAAATTATTTCTCTCTTATTTTTAATCATACATTTTCTATCAATCTAATATTTCAAAATGCATTCTACACATAAAATGGGGCTCAAACATTATTTTGGAAGGTTAAGCTTATAATACTCATTGCGTAGAGTGACGGACACTCAATTAAGTACAAATCTAGATACTCATCCTTACTCTCATCTTAGGTAAATATAAATCAGTAGAAGCATTATAGACATAAGTAAAAAATATACACCACCAAGCAAAAATTAAGTTCAAAGGACTTTAATAATTAATCGTTTCAAACAACTGAAAATTTTGATATAAACACGCAATAAAAAAATACATTATCATTCATCGTTGTTCTCAAAACTAGTTAAGTGAAAAATGAATTTGAATCTACGTGAGCCATGTGAATTGCACAAGTCTGAAGTCTCCCCTGAAACAGTAGAGGGAACATTTATTGGAGGATATCAGTCTTTTATAGAGCTTGTTTGGTAGGGATTTTTGGGGGAAGAATTGATTTTGAATAGTGATATGATGGGAAATGTGTGGTTGAAAAAGAAAAAAATTATTGATGTGATGAAAAATATTATTTTATTGAAAAATGTGTGGTTGAAAATATGAATTGATCTCAAATAAAAAACAAACACCCTCATACTAACACATTCCAAGGTGAGTGAGAAATCCTATCCAAAATGGGTGGAGAAAATCAATTAGAAATTTCAAGGGTCCAAAGAAATTGTTTTTATTTCACGTGCTTGTTTGGCTCAATTTCAATAATATACTTATAATCAAATTAATTTACAAATAAGTAAATTTTAACAAATATTTTTTTATTGGCAAGATTAAATAAGATCAAGTCACTTATTTTGACAATAAATTCTATTTAATGGTCAAACCGGGTAAATTGTTTCTTTATAAGTATAAATAAGTTATATACGTACACATTAGTAGAAACAAAAAGTAATAATTATTTTTAAGTTTAGCCAATTATGCAGTGCTTTTTATTGTTAAAATAAGTAATTTATGTTTAGCTCTTATAGATACAAAATATTTAGCCCTTGTTTGATCTCCATTATTTTAAAAAATATATTTTTCTTTCTTTTCTTTTCAACTATAGATTCTTCAAGAAAATAATATTACAACACGCTAAATCAAAATTTTTCTTTATTTTTTTAACCACACATTATCCATCAATTTACTATTTCAAAATACATTTTTATCCTAAAAATGAGGCTCAAACAAACTCTAATTATAAAATTTAATTACATAAATATAAATAAAGCATGCACTAAATAAAATATTTAATTTGGTAATAAGCTATTCACAATACATGAATGTCATGAAAACAAAATATTCCATAATTGTGAAGTCTTTAATTAAATTTGGACAATTGAGCACTTGACTTCTCTAGATGTAGTTGGACGGTTTAGCCCATGTTTGACAATCATTATTTCAAAACTTTTTATTTTATATATTCATTTTTAAACACACATTCACATAATAAATCTAGATGTAAACCCAGATTTTTTCCTACTTTTTAACTACATATTTTCCTAATTTTCACTATTCAAAATATTGTTTTGAACAAATAATGGACATCAAACAGGGGCTTAATTACTTGATTGGTTACTGAACTTTGTGTAAAGTTCTCAAATGGTCACTTAACTTTAAAAAATTTCTCATTAGTGACTGAATTTTACAAAATGTAATTTCAGTGATGGATGTGATTAAATTTTGTAAAGTTCAGTTATCCCTAAAAACTTTACGCAAAGTTCATCGACCAAAAATGAATTAACGTTTAATGACTAACAAGGAAACTTTTGAAATTCAATGACCCATTAAAAAACTTACTCAAAGTTCAGTGACCAATCTGGTAATTAATCCTCATTTTTATTAATTTTTATGTTTTGTAGTCTTTTTTATACTCCTACCCTACAATTTTATTCGCTCTAACATTGTCAAACGTAGAAACAAAAGTAGCTTTTTATCTTGGGGTAATCAATAAGGTTTTCGTTGACTTCTCTAATATCAAAGAGACAACTGATGTGCACATAGTCAACTATTTGGGAAGAGAACCCCTTTAACATTGATTGGTTAATAGTATTCAACATAGAAATTCATACACATTTTCGTCTAAGAATCTAATAAATTTCTAATTTTTATTCAGTTGTGTCTTGATGAAAAATATGATGTAGAACCACCCTTTTACTATTGCAATTGCTAACAAAGTTTTCACTGTCACTATTTTTGCTATGGGTTAAAAAGTTTCATGATAATCCAACCCCTCTTATTGTGTGTACCTCTTTACTGCAAGTTTTGCCTTATACATTTCTATACTCCCATTAGCGTTAAATTTAACCTTATACGCCCATTTACAGCCTAGTGTTTCTTTGTTAGGTTGTAAATTAACAATCACCCAAGTGTCATTAAGTTCAAGTGCATAAATCTTAGCTTTCATGGCAACTCTCCATTCAAGAGATATAATAGCTTCTAGGTAGGTTTGGGCTCGATGTACGAAGTTATTGAGGTCACAAATGTTTTATATGGTGTAGAAAGTTTTTCGTAAGTCATGCCTAAGAGGAAATAGACTATTTGACCGAGTTTGTATCTCTTGATTGTTTAACAGCTGAGATGGGAGAAGTGAAGTTTCTTGTTGACATATGAAGTCTTGGAGGTGTGATGGAGCCTTTCTTATTCTAGTTGACCTTCGAGGTAAGTGTGTATGGATGGTTTGCTCAGTTTTCGATTGATGTAAAGAAGTGTTGCCAACTTAATTTGTTTGTAAATTGGATGGTTTAGGAGTAGCTGTCTTTTGTATGGAGATTTGAAGAATCAATGGTCTGAAGATTGTGATGAATGGGAATGGAGGTATTGGATATGATAGGATTTTTAGTGTAACTAAGTTCATTAGGGTTTTGTAAAGAGTTAAGATAGTTCACATATTCAATTTTGAACGAAAAAATAGTTTCATGAAAAGTCACATTTCAAGAGATAAAAATTTCCCTGGTGTCTAGATCTATTAGCCTATATCATTTGGTACTAAAGGAATATCCAATAAATACACACTTCCTATCCCTAAGATTAAACTTACGCCTACGTTTGACAAGGGTAGTGGCAAAAGTCAAACACCCAAAAAACTTTGAGGTGATCGTAATTTGGTTTGGTTTTGAAAAAGAAAATTAATAGGGCTTTTGCGTTTTAAAAAAGGAGTTGGAATTCTATTTATCAAATATACAACTGTTACGACACAATGATTCCCAATATTTTAAAGGAATTCCACTTTGAAACCTCAATGCTCTTGCTACATTTAAAATATGCTAAAATTTTATTTCTACAGTGGCATTTTTTGTGGTGTTTTCACGCATGTTTGATGTATAATCTCAATTTCAGGTAAAAATATTTCATTTTAAATTCCTTTCCATTGTCACTCCGAATGATTTTTATTTTTGCTTCAAATTGATTTTTCTACCATAGTGCAGAAATGCTACAAAGTGGAGGTCGCTTTTGATTTTTGTTTTAGTGTGTAAAGTCCAAGTGCATCTACTGAAATTATCTAAAATAGTTAAAAA